TCAACCACCAAAAGAAACACTACTCCCATGTGTCTTTGTAGGGAACATCGAGAATTTCATTCCCTCCCTTCAATATTACAACTACCACCCCCCTATATCAAAGATTTCCTGAATAACAGAGTATACCACAATGGGCATATCTAATAGTAGCAGTGTAGGATGCGCTTGTAGGGAACCTGGTATCTTGGCCTAGAAGTAATTGGTGAGGATTCGGTATGGGGCTACGTCAGTCCTCCTGAAAGCTAGTGTGTCTTCATCTGCTTCGTCTTCTTCCGTTCCTGATGCCCTGCCTCTTTGTCTTGACTTCTTTAAGGCTGATTTTTTGACATACAGATATATTTGGCTGCATTTCCCAGCTTGACATCTCCAGACATGGATGCCGGTAATTATGCTGATCGAAACAGCGTTGCCGCCGTTCCGCCATGGAAGAGCTGTTTTGCCACCGCCCCCCACCACCGCCACCCCGCGCTATTGCTGCCACCGCCGTCACGCCAGCAGCAGCGCCAACAGCATCGGTGGCGGTAGCGCTAGCAGCAGCAGTGGCAGCGCTTCTGCATTGACTGCCACCACGCCGCCACTATCCTTTGCAAAGCCCTAGGTGTAATTTGGGAGCACTCTACATGGAAGCTTTTCCAAACCGTCCCGACATACCCCTTCGATTCAGACAGGCCCAGGAAATCCCGTTGCATGTTAGTTGCTTGTATCTTTCGGTTTCTGAGGGTTCCCTAAGCCCTTAATCCCTAAATCCCTTCTCTGAGAACTCCCACCCAATCTGTTTTCGGACAGGTCCGCGCTTGCGGCAGACGCAGAGAAGGTGGTGGCCAAGGGAGTGACCCGGCCCAAACAAGGGATTGCATGGGGGATAGGTGGGGGTATTTAGGGGTATCTCAGGATATCGGGATACGTAGTGACATAGTGGTGTTTAAGGGGATTACAAGAAGTTCTCCAAGAATAGTTGTTGATTTCTTTCTTTTTCTAAGACCCAGCCCAGCCGAAGTCATACCAAACAAGCTTGGAGCCAGAAGTGGCTCTCATATTTTGATGTGCACTAGTCCGTACATAGCCGTCAGGTTCGGATAGCAATCTCATTCTTGCGGAGCTTTTCACACTTGAGCTGGTTTGAGTACCTGGCCGCCGGACGGTGACAACTTTCGCCGCGGTTTGAGGTGTTGGGAGCTGAGGTTCTAGCGGTGAGGTATTAATTGCAAGCTTGGGGTTCATTAGGGCGCATCGGGTTATGCTCCCACCCAGTGATATAGAGGGACCCCAACATAAGTGATATCCTCCCGCGTGTCCACGATCATGGGACAGGGACCTAACCTAAAAGTTACAAGGTATAGCGAGGTTACAATGGATATCCCCAATAGGCACAGATAGCACGAGGGTGTCGTAATATGCCCGCCCAGCTACCCGAAGCCCCAAACCCTAAACC